ATATATATGTAGAGTGCTTATATAATATGTGTGTGATATAAATAAAAATTTTATACCGATCACGCAGCACGCGGCCGAGTCTAAACAGACGCCGGTCGGCCAAAAAACGCCGCGGTACGCAATGGGTTATACGCTTTCATACGCCACCGTCTAATTCATTTCGAGTAGTGATTGTAAAAACTGTCGGTTTATAAAAAAAATACCGCTAGTCACACCAAGCCTCCTTTCCTCTGCAGCCCCTCTGTACTTAATTCAGAAGGAAAAACGAAATGCAAAAAAAAACTATTTTGTTCCAAAAAACGAAAAAAATGAAAATGCACCAATCCCCATACCACCCAATTCCCAACAGCCTACCAAGCTACCCCGTACCAAGTCGAAACGCCCACAACTTTTTTTTTGCATTTTCAACTTAAACATCTGATTAGACCAAATTGCAAACAACTCACTTGGCGAGAAGTTCTGGGGATTTGCTCATCTGCTGCGACGTTGAACGACTAGTGACCTCGTTCTTGTTGATAAATGTTGTTGCGGCCTAATTTAACATTTATGGGGTGCTTCAGGGAGCAACAATTTCCATTAGATGCACGTCAGCCTCGGCGGTTGAGCGATTGCAACAGTGCTGTCGTGGATGATATCGCAGCCGCTGTCACGATTGCACAATCGTCGAGTCTGACATCCATTGCACTGACAATTAAAGGATACCTTATCGAGTGCTTGTATGAAACCAGATTCATTTTGGAAAGCATTCCCCACAAGCGATGAGTAGCGATTGTGTACGGCAAGAATAGTCGTTACATACAGCTTAGCATCCTATAAATAAAAACTGATTTCAAACACCTTCATCCGGATGGAAGAGTTCTAACTTTAGCAACCAAGCCCAAACGGTGGACGCAAATGGCAAAAAACGGCTCAACAAATAAACAGAGCAAACAGCTTTTCAATAAAAATCTGATATATGCATCCAAAGACATAATTTTAAATTCAAGGCGAACTGTACCGTGAAAGCTGTGTCTGCGACTTTAGCGATAGCCGCTAGACCTTCTTTGGTAATATGGCTTTCCAGTGCAGACCGCAAATTGTTCAGACCATCCTCGACACGTTCGCAAAGCTAGAAGTACATTACAATGGAAACAAATTCAATCGAAGCTATTAAGAAGCTGAAGCGCACAACAAACAAGACAGCTCTGGAATGACGAGCCCAATGAACAAATAAATGGTACTAGGCGAAAACAAGGAAAGGAACTCTAAAGAGTTTCACTCAAGACTAATAAAAAGTTGATTTTCTGAGAACATTCGAATATTCTAGTTTGTTTTTATGTCGTTCCCTTAGAGCGCTCTAATAATCAGTCGTTCGATCGTAACGATCGCACAGTATCAGGAACGGATCAATCGTCCGGCCGTCCGTCCGTCACGTCCGGCGATCGATACGTATCTAATGCTGTGCGATGGTTACGATTGTATGAGCAATCATGAGTGCGTCCTTTCTGCCCCACGTCTCATATTTCGAAACGAAACAGGTACTAGCAAGAAGCTTTCGAGATTGCCACTCCGTCCCACAGAAGCAGTGATGATAAACACAAAGATCGAAAACCCCTACATACCTTGTACATCCTGGCCAAATCATCGTCTTTGTTAGCTTCAAGTAACGCGCCAAATTCGTTTTGAAATAACTCGAGCTGAGCCTCAATGAGAACCTGAAACATAGATAAAGCCAAATGCAAATGTAACTGAAAGCATATGATTAAGAAAGCGTTCTCTGCTAGATGTTGTTCACGACCTTCCCGAAAATTTCACGACATTAATAGCGTACAAAGCAAACGAAGAAGTCATATAAAAACCTTTTCACATGTTTTCGACAGGGGTTCCTGTGTCGCCATGTGCAAGTACATATCACATCGAGCGCGCTCATCTTCTAGCCTTCTCTCAACCTTAAATTTTAGACTTTCACTACGAGGAATTGAGCTCCCCGTGAAATCTAATGAAGTATCAACAAGTGCTTAATGCTTACCTTTTTCATGTACTCCGTCAAAGGATTGTGTTCCAAGAAAGCTTGCGCTTCGTTGGCGTAGTAGTTTTCTGTTTCCCGAAGGAATTTCGCCTCGAAGTGGTCCTGTAATGAAGCGTATTATTCCTTGAGTTTGGTAAGGAAAAGCTTAGGAGAAGCATAAAAATTTGCAATTGAGCCTACCATGTAAACCTTGAGCTTGGCATTTGGATTGGGTTGAGCTGACCGAACCTGGTCAGGTGTCTCATCTTCTTCTATACCGAGTTCAACTGCAATCGTAAGCGTAGAGTGTCGTCAAAAGGCCTAGTTATTAATCAGCACATAACTAGATGGCTTCCCGATTCCGCAATCTCGAAGGTTCAAAGAAAGAAGTGTGTGAATTTGGAATCGAGCTCGAAGAATAGAAAAAGAAACACACACCATAACAATCAGTCACATCGCGTATAAGTTTACGAGAAATAGTCTCGCCATTCCGCTCCCGCCTAATCAAATCTAGTACAGCGTCGGTGACACGTTCCTTGCTTTCCATGAACAGACTTCGTTTCCAAATGACCAGTGCCAGCTGGAACGAGATAGATTTTGGAGCAGCAATGACCAAAATGAACAAATTGTGCGGGGCCACTAGGTCGTTAGAACGTCTCGGCTCCTTCTCCTTCAGAAATCGGTTCATAACAACAACGATGCAACGCAGATCAAAAAACAAGCTCCAATTAAAAAGCTCAGCACCAATTAAAGCTTGCTTACACTTCCTAAAACCTAACTGCAGCATAAAATCTTCTAAAACCGTGTTTTTGTCTTGTCCACTCATCTCAACGACTTGCCCCTAGAGAGGATTTCAAGTAACAACTAGGACTTGCAAATATTTAAAAAAGCAAGTAGAATAAGATGAAAAGAACTGAGCTTCAAAGGAAAGGAAACCTATACTAGAATCATGATCTTGCAATATAAGTGCAGCTTAATTCAATAATACGTTGATCGACTATGCCGCCGAACCTCTCATGAACACCACTGATACGGTAATTTCACTCAAAAAAGAAAACAGTCATGAACTCAAACGAATTATTGCTCATACCGTATATATCATATAAATATTGCCATTGCCCTCATCCAGTTCTCGCTTTATCCAGTGTCTGTTGAGATACGAAAAAATACCATCAACAACCTAAAAACACTTAAGCAATAAATGGGACTTGTTTTCGTAGTACAACGATAAGCTGTTGTACCTTTGAAGAAAACCTGAATTCCGACCACTGTGTTGTGTAGTAACGCAGCAAGTCTTCGCCTAGAAGGTCTCTCGCACCCTGCAAAGTAGACACTCAGCTTTTGCGACTAGGGCAAGCAAAAAAAAAACGAATGACTACAATAGAAACGCACCTCTAGCCTGGCTTTTACGTACGATTCTATGAAATTGGTCAGTTTCGCGTACATCTCGACGCCCACAAAATCCGTGCCGGTTACTGGTCCGTCTTCACCACTGAAGTTTTTGTGCGAAGAACGAGCACCTGACCGAGTAGGTCGGCCAACAACACCAGGATTGGAATTCACCGAGACCGCCGTGCAAAAATCGTACACACTTCTGAAAGTAAGTTTTCGCTGATCAGGGGTGGCATCCATTAAATTCCAGTTCAGACGTTTCCCAATGATGCTAATTTCTGGTTCTCACTTTCAAGTACGGAGGAACAAACGATCCGCGGAAGCAGCAGTTCTAGCGCTCGAGAAATCTTATGTCAAACCGGCAATAGACAGGCGGTGTCTTAATGAGGACCAGAGATCGAAGGACCGAGTCGTGCCGTGAAGGCTTCTTCTGGCCCATATCGGAAAAAAATATACAGGGAGATGGGAAGTCAAACGTGTTTCATTTTAAAGCGCATTACCACAGTAATTCTCTAATACAGAACTAGTTGGGAATGTGAGCTGGTTTCACCCCCAATTTGCGTAAGCTCCTGAGGATGCACCTTTGAAAGCATCACCAACCAGCGTTCACATTTTAAGGCTCGCTGTTATTCAAAGCAAAATATGAACTCGGGGAGGAGGGGACACAGCGTCCATGAAGACGAGGACACTCCCAATTGCTGCATCCAAAGATTGAAGACCGCTCTTAAAAATTCTCATTCAAAAAAATCATTCTACACCTTCAGAAAGCATCAAACTTCGATCGCGGCAAAGCCAACGCAAATGGAAAATAAAGCGCACACAAGAAATGCATTCCTTTTTCTATAGCGCCATTATGATGGGTGACAAAACCCCGCTCTCCCATCAGACCACCTTCTTTTTGGACACTGAGTCATCAGTTGTACGGTACGAATTCCGCCAATTATATGCGATTTGCAAGATCGATACCTTCAACTTTCAAGCTGCAAAAGGGAACAGAAACTATACACTCCAAGAGACACTGCAGAGCTCAATAATGGGATGAACATTTGATACCCTTACGCAGGGTAGGAATGTGGCAAAACGATTCGCTCTTCGAAAACACTCGAAAAAGGAAACCCGAACACTGGACATAAAGAAAACTGAAGGATTCTCTCAAATTCTTACGTGTAAAGCTCCATGTAGCGCTGAGATTTCATCACTTCTCGCAAATATACAGCCTGAAGACCTTTGTACAAATCCTCCCAGACGCCATCGATCGTCATGTTCTGGCGTCTGCTTCCAGAAACCGCCATCACGGTCTGCAACACGAACTTTATTGACTATTCGATGTTCAGCTGAAGTAGATACAAGCTTTAGAGAGTGTGAGGCAAATTTTACGACTCGGGTTGGAGCTACCCAAGAGTTTTATCAATTTGTCATCATTGTCAGCACAAAAATCAGGGCAAGATCTTTGCATCATCACGTAGAAATCCGAGAGCGACAACACAGATGTTTTTCAGAAGACCCTGCAGACTGGCTCAGCTGAGATTTGGCCAAAAAAGACCAGCCTCCCTTCGAAGAAGTACGGGAAGAAGGCACAGATGTTTCAGCCCCTATTGACGTCTGCGGCACGCACACGCGGGAGCAATTGGAGCGCACTTCTGCCAGTGGAGCGCGTTCACGGACACGGCTCACTCTGGTGGTGATGGGCAGTGTTTGTCGGTGTCTCGCTATTTTTGGACTTCGGTTATTTACAAAAAAAAACCTGCTCGCAGAAGTGTCGAAGTCCATGTCAATCAAGCTTTGGGGGGGGGGGGCGGTTGTGGCACAAGTCCACGACTGGCAATTTTTCTAAGAATACTTTGAAGTTTCGGAGGTTGCACGATTTTTGTATAATATTGATGTGTGAGAGCTAACCCAAAAGAAAACCAAAGTTGCCCACGAGCCTAAAAATCCTCCCCCTACCTCCTACTAATTTAAGAAAGAAAAAACCATTATAAACGGAATATTTAAAATAGACCCTGAAAAACCCTAAAACCCTAAACCTCTTTTACCACAACCACGATCCCTTCAACTCTTACGAATACGACCCTCCACTCGACGCACTTTTTCCGAAAGGCGGTTGACCCTGCGCATCTCCGAACACGATCCCCCTCCAAAAACCCAAATACGAAACAATTGGGAATGGCGCAGCGTGCTACCCCTCTTCAAACCAGATTGCATTTTTTGTAACCGATCCTTTGAACGATCCGCAGGGGTTTCACCCATTGTGATCTGGGGCAGGAAAGCCTCGGGTAGGCGCTGTTCCATCTTCGAAGCGCTATCGAGCGTAGCAAACTTGAACTTCAAAACTTCAGCCTGGCAGGGATTCTGCACAATCAGAGCCACCTTCCCTGAGGGGCAACCCTCCAGATCGACGAGGTTATGATGCAGCTGCTTCAGGACGAAACAATTGCGGCAGGCCTCACTAAGATTGTCGGCGAGGCAAATGCCTTCAGATTAGCAGGGTATGAAAATATTTTGTCCACGTACCTCTTTTCCCTGTGCGACGTTAACTGGGCTGAAACGCCCAATGGCCAAAGTGACCCTTCACGGACCGCTCGTATGTAATATTGGGTGCAATCTTGGTGATGAATGTTACACCGCGGCAAAGCCCAGTGGTATTGTTGATAGGCATCGAATCTGTCAATGGAAGTTTTTTTTTCTCAAAATCTCCATTGATCCTCCCTCTTGACCCCGTCGATTGGAAGACGTCTATTCCTCAGCCGTGCTCCATTTATCCTTCTCCTATTCTTGCTACTTTACTTTCTATCAATGAGCCGCAACTAAAAGTATTTTGCTGCAGGACGAACGATACCACTCGCTCACTTGGGAACCCGAAAACTGATTCACTGCTCTTGGGTTGCGGAAATTTGCCAGATTAGTTCGTGGAGAAACTCGGAGTTTCTGGACTTCTTATTTGGTCGGGACGACTGTGGTCGGCCGTATGGCCGATGTCAGACTTTGCGAATCGCGCGATTCGCTAGCGTCTGCGGTCGCGTCGCGGCCAGTGAATCACTCAATTGGCTGGTACCGCAACGCGACCGCGGACGCTAGCGAATCGCTAGTAGCGAATCGCGCGATTCGCAAAGTCTGACATCGGCCTATGCGCTGTTTCCTCACGAATCAATATCCAGGTGGAGAAAATTAGCAGGCGGACAAAATTCTACTGGCACGCCGTCGCGACTGCGCGCAACCATCTGATCGGGGCGGCGGGTATTGAAGTGGGTTCAACCAAGGCCGAGTTTATGATAGTAACCGTGACCTCTGCCGTAGTAATGCTACAGTATTCCGTGTGATGGATTACTGTTTAAGACAGTGGACATTATTACAGAGGACAAACTTTATTCCAGTAGGTACGATGATGGAGGCGATACAATTCAAGCATCAAAAATCCACAAAAATTAAGATTAAAACCACTTTTAATTATTAATAAAAGAAGTGGTTGGTTAGGGTTTTGTTTCTTGAGATGACCCTTCATCCCCTATTTTCTCTCTCTCTCCTCTGAAGGATTGATCAATACCCATCTAAAGCATTGTCGACTTTGCAAACCCAAAATTTTCACTATCACTTACGTTGTTTCCAACGTTGGACGTTTTGCTTCACCAGCGCAAGTCGAAATGGGAGAATAAGCTGGCAAAGGGGTCAACCCGCGACCCCTCAAGTGGATGGCCATTCGGGAACTTTCTAGAGAAATCATTTTCTGATCTCTCTGTTTCGCTCACCCCTTAGAGCATTTTCTAGAATCGGTCCAAAATGATGTTGCTGCAATACAGTCCCCCCTAACCAACCAATAATTATCTTGTCCTACGCTATTCACATAGAACGAATGTTGTTTGGTGCTTTTAAAAATGGTTTTAGTTTCAGATCTTGTTTCCGCAACGACATGCGCATCCTCGTAGGAAACGACCACTTGTCACCCATTCAGGCAGGCGAATCAGAAATACCGGCAATATCTGAAAGTATACAATCATTTTGGTGTTGGTTCAGCTGAGTTTGTTGGTCTTCCATGAATCAGCTCACAATCAAACTGTGGAGTGTGCCAAAAGTCACCACCAGGACGATCGCCGTCACAAACACCGACGAGGAGTAGGTCTGAAATTTGGCGCTGCTCGCGCTATGACATGGAATTGGATAGCCAATGTTAATGGTCAAAGATCAGCGTTGACGCAGTGAAGGCAGTGACTGCGACAGCTGGATCGTGGAGCGTTGTTGATGACATCATTGGACCAGCCTCCTCAGGTTGCTGGGGAAGTGTGGCTGAGATTCCCAACGCCTTTCACCAATCATGCTCAATGACGTCACCGAAATAGCTCCGCCCTCCAACCATTGTGTTCACTGCCTTTGAGTATGCGCCATGCAAACGCAATCTGCACTCAGAAGTCATTTGGCTGAACATTTGGTGTATCTCATAAATGAGATAATAGGAAAGCAAGGCATTGAATGTTGACCACTCATCGCGCAAACATCCGAGTGCCTCTGCGATTTCGAACGTGTGTCGATTGCATGGCGTATCCAAAGAAATGGCGTGGCTATTCGCGGTAGAAACTCACGGGAAGGAACAGTAGCGGAAGGACGCACGTGATGGTCGAAAGGCCTGACTGGGCCAACGGCAGCGCCACGCTCTCGACCGTGTTCTCCACCTTTTTCACGATACCGCTGATTGGAGTTCGAACCACCGAGCCGTTGCTGATTTTGCTTTTCGTGTCCAGCTGAAATTCCACAAAATTTGTACCCGACAAGCGGGCAACGAAGAAAAGAAGAAAAGGGGGAATGACCTGTAAATGATAGGCGACATGCGCGATGTAGTCGACGCTCATGCCGATGGACATCAGAAGCGACACCATCACCACTGGATCGAGATCAAAGTTGAACAACGACATGAAGCCTATCACGCCTGAAACCGTTTCCTATTAGCTGTCGACCACTTTGACGGCGTTCATACTACGCGAACGTGCAGCGCCGATTCGTCGCCGCCAGCGTGACGGCAATTTTAGACGAAAATTGATGCGCACCTTACATGAGAAGTGGCTGCGAGATTGCCAAGTGTATGCGCTGCTTCTGTCAGTATGGAGAATTCCCCCTTTCAGCGACAGAGGCACAATCAGATATTTGATCTGCATTATGCTTGTCAGCTGCTCTTGCGCCATCAACCAACCCAGGAAATCTTGCCCCTCCATTGTTCGTGACCCAATTATGCTGACGAAAACAGCATCAGACGAAGTGAAATTTCTGTACCTTTCTCCGTAGAGCATTCCCACCACTCATTGAGCCAGGGATAAATAAAATGATAAAAAACGAACCGACACTGATCGAAGCCATCGAGGCGGCTGCCGTCACCGTACTGCAGAAGTTGCCCATGAAGATCGCACATACAACAGTCATCGACGCCAACGTGAACAGAGCGCTCTGAAAGGCCAACAGGCAAAATTAAGCGCCAATGTTTCGATTGATAGAAGGAATTTGATGCAGATAATGACTGAAATTGCCACTCAAGAATTGGGTCCCCCGAGAATAACCCTAGTTTTTAATCGTGATGTCTCCTGGCGTTTCCAATATTTTACCAACCACACCTGGAGAAAGGGTTCCCAGTTGCATCAATCGATGTGGGACCCTATATGTTTCAAAGGAATCCACAAATGGGCAGGCCAATAGTGCGAGGTAAACGTCTATAGGTCGAAAGTACTGAGCTGAGCTGCATTTCTGGAAATAACCCGAGTTCGGAATTATAGTCGGCTCGCAATACTTCTGATGTTTAAAGTCTCGTTTGTTTTGAAGGCAAGCCCGGGGATGAAACTGGTGTGTAACAGCGTTCAATAATGGAGATGGAAGTGGCTGAAAGTGGAAAGAAGGAGAAAGAAGCCATCGAAAACAAAGAAATTGAGGACTTAAGGCCGATGTCATAGTTTGCGAATCGAGCGTTGCGCCAGCGAATCGAACGTTGCACCAGCGAATCGAACTTTGCGCCAGCGAGTCGAACGATGTACCAGCGAGTCGAACTAGGTACCAGCGACTCAATAGTGGCGGGACCCAACGTTCAAAGGAAGCCCGCCACTTTCAAACAGTGTCACGTGACAGTGGACGCTGTTTGAAAGTGGCGGGACTTTGCAGTGGACACTGTTTGAAAGTGGAGGCTTCCTTAAAGCCACGAGTCAGGATTAGGTGACCATAGAAGGCCTTTCCATCACTAATATTTCCAGGAATGCGCTCAGAGGGGTGATGCCACACTCCTGACTCGAGATTGCGCGCCGTCAAGGTTTCTGGCCTACTACTTATAGCGATGGGTTCGTTACATCAGCTGGTCCCGCCCACCGCGGGATGTGGTGCGTGGCTGGCCTAACGTGTGAGATCAGCTAGGTTGATTGCCGTATCAACCGATGGAACGGCTGGCATATCCGGAAAACTCGTTTGGACGTGGCTCTCCCCCGAGCAAGCCTCCTTCACTGCTAGAAGGAAAGGGGTTTCGATTTCGGTCTTGTCGACGGTTTCTTTGCGTTTTTTCTTCACTGTCGTTCCACCTCCCATCTCTACACTCAATTTCAGGCGCCATAATGCCCAAACACGAGCCTGAATTTTGCCCTTGAAACGTTTGGGTTCCCGCCACTATGGAGTTCGCTACGTACTAGGTCACATCCGCGGTCGCCTTGCGCAAAGTTCGACTCGTTTCTGGTGCCAACCGTTGCGATTTCGGCTGGCGCAACACCTCGCAATCGAGCGATTCGCTAACGACATTGCTCGATTCGCAATACTTGACATCGCTAACTTTCGTAGGTCGATTGTGGTACGATAGAGCATTACAGAGGCGCAGCAATGAAAGACACAGAACGCGAAACGTCGTATGATAGTGCACAGCGCCAGTTGCGGCCTGCCTCCAAGTAGCCACCGGCCGCGGCCGGTAGTCGGGACCATTTGTAAGACCTTAGCGCCCTTGCTGCAGCCTTTCGAGCGGTGTCATGGCGCATCGGCGATCTTTTTGCAACAGTCCACCGAAGGGTCCACTGGTTTTTATCCGCGGGCTTTGCCTACAACTAGAGTTAATCTAACAATTCTTACACGTAAAAATTACCTGGTACTTGCCTTTAAATAATTATTATAGTAGACATCTATAACCAATAAGGTTCTGCGCTACCTAGCAGGGAGAGGTAGGGAGGTTGCGGCGGCTGATCGGGGACAAAACTGTTAATAACAATGACTTATCTCACCTGAACGGTTACGGTAGTCAGGCTCAACATCTGATCCACATAGAAGCCAGCTGATTCGTACACAGTCATGTTCAGATCGTGATACCTGCCAAGAAAACTCTTAAGGGGATGGGATGCGCCATGTGCTGCTCTGAAGACGCCCAGTCCTGATTATTCGCTCTATTCGCTACCGATTTGGTCAAGTTAGGGACTGGGCGTTTTCAGGGCGATCTGCCAGTTTCCTGACCAACTCTTTATCGTTCCAAAGTGATTACCAAATGAGCATTGAATGAAATAAAGGTCGAATTGTGTACAACAAAGATCGAACGCGTGCGCCTAGCGGTCAGAAGAAAGCTCAGGAAGTACCGTACTTGGCGATCACATTGCGCCACTCGGTCATCAGCCCGATCCGCACCTCCCAGTCGGTGACGTTGGTGTACGCCACGATGAACAGAAAACGCTCCACCGTCTCGCCATCCCTGAATGTTGCTTTCAGTGAATATTCCGACCCTTTTGGTTAGCAAAATTCTGCTTGGACTCACGAATCGTTCGAGAACCTGATCGTCATGTCAAAGTGACGTCGGTCACTTTTCAGGAAGCTTTTAACCCTTGCAGGATTGAGCCTAGTCTGCAATAGACCTCTCAATCAATGTGTGGAATTTTTATGGGTAGTGATCATAAAACGGCCCCTTTTACCCCCAAATATTGAGTTGATGGCCACTCACATGGTACGGGTACGGGCCTCCAGATTTGTTGAGACTGTCTGCGAAATTTCGAAGCCACACATGAGATGAAGCCGGGCCTGAATCGGAACCTGACGACTGTATTCGCTGTGGGCAAAAACTCGCATGCCCTAACGGCTACATAGGTCATTACGATGTTTTTGGCAAGTGTTTGTGATGGTTAGGGCGATGATTCACACGGGCTGGAGTGAAGGTGGAAATTGAGGGTGGAATGATGGGAAGCAGGATCTGTCCATACTCGGAGCTCCACAGGAGGAGAGTGGAGAGTCTGTATGGGATACGGTATTTTTGCAAAGTAATCGAAAAGGCAGGACCAGGTGGATCGGTAGCCCGTGCAGGCTCCCAATCGCCTTCGATAGGATTGAGCGTTCGTGAAAGAGATTGAGAAACACCCACTAATTTTACATTAGGTCACCTTGGAATTTTCTGAGGTACACAACGGTGCTCCTTCCGTCAGGCTCATCCCCCTGTCTAGGACCTTTGCGCCCGGACCACTACAACACTGTGACCAGCACCCTTGGAGGCTGCCATTTTTCGTGAAGGGTCGTACTAACAGGTAGGCGGCAGGAACTGAACGTTACAAGGCGCAACCTGCCAGCGTACCTTTGCAACGAGGTAGAGTTTCAAGCTCTTTGAGCACGTCCCAGAACTGAGCGGTCAATTTGGTGTCGGTCAGGTTGAAGCGACTGTTGACTAGGAAGATCGGCGAGAGATGCTCCTGCCAAACTGAAACACAGCAATGTTCCTGGCAAAGTTCCGAAACAGATGGACAGAACCGGGACTAAAGGGACATACCGTAATCCATGAGAAGTGTGTTCGGCTTGTGAAGCTCGGAATCTTTTGGCAGAATTTTTTCCGAATCCAAGCGCACATTCATGGTCATCAGTCCTTGAATTCCCAAACCCAAGTAGACGACGGTCATTATGAAGACGACAATCGCCACCTCAACCCGACCGAGGAACCCGCAGTGAGCACGAAGTAACGTCAGAAAGATCGCGTTGATCTGAAATGGGCACATTCTTCCTGAGAGGTGTGTGGTTGTCGCAGTGAGTGGAACCTACCAGTGCTCTGCAGCCGGTTGCCTTACCCTCCTCTTCAAGTTTGTAGGGTCTCTCGTAGGTTGTTGCGATCGCGAGAGCCGGTCCGAATAAAATCAGTTGGTAGACATACGTCAGAAAGATCGCGTTGATCTGAAATGGGCACATTCTTCCTGAGAGGTGTGTGGTTGTCGCAGTGAGTGGAACCTACCAGTGCTCTGCAGCCGGTTGCCTTACCCTCCTCTTCAAGTTTGTAGGGTCTCTCGTAG